GAAGCATTACATGAATCAAGTAATAAAACATGGGATGAAATATATTAATACATGGAAATCTCGATGATAATTTTGATAACTTAACCCAACTGGTTAGAGATCCAACACGAATCACACCCCACTCTTCCACTTTACTAGGTCTCGTTTTAGTTAGCTGTCCCGATTTCCTTCACTCAACAAATGTTCTTGAAGCAAGTTGGAGCGACCATTGCCCGGTTCGAGTGCTTTTTACATTTAAAGTAGCTAAGTCTCTAACTCAATATCATAAAAAATCTTCGACATTGAAAACACGAATTATTTGTCAATTCAAATCAACATTGGTCTTGTGATCTTACAGGGAAAAGATGGGCTTCTGATATCCAATATTCAAGACAAAATAAACATTTTACCACTGGTACACGAATCGTGTACCATGATGCGTTTCAGCGCCATTTGGAACAAGGGACTCAAAGAACAGGGCTAGACATATTCCACAAGTCATGTCAAATGGTGACGCTATTTTCTTATCTGGAGAGCATGCGCAATAAATACCATCGGTGTAGACTGGAAAAACCAGCCGCTAAAGATTGCGATTCACATGAGACTTCTGGCGTATTTCGCCGAACATAACTGATTAGAAATTACAGTAAAAACAGAAACGATTGAATGTAAATCAGTTTATATACATTCATATTACATTATTATATGCGTTGCGATCCATTTTTGTCAATTTCTAGGTCCCAAATATTAACGATTTAGCTCCTTTAAGATAACCCCCAACTGAAAAGCTACGCTAGAACTATTATGGTCATATCCCAAAATCGATTTTGAAGAACTGAATAGGCACTTTGAAGCATTAAATTGGCAAAGTATTTTTGAGATAGACGAATCCCGTAATAATTTGGCCAACGCCTTTTCTGATGTGTTGATTAAAGGGACTATCCTGATTTGAACATAAATTCCGAGAAAATATGAAATTTAAGCGCCCAAATATAGAGGTATTGTGTATTTACCTTGTCTCAAACTTTCAGTTCAAAACATTGAGTCGTTTGGACGTGAACGTCAAAACTGCTTATCCGGACACGTATACATGGCGTTAGTTGCTTGGCCTTGAGATAGAGGATTTTAAGGGATTTGAATACAAAATTAAGAAGTTTTATTCTCCAAAATATTATCGGGATTGGCCCTTTAAAGCCATTGGGGATTACACCTCACACAAAAATGTGATTATACGCCCCCGAGGCGCGCCATGGATGAACGATCATTTGAGGAATACCATACGTAAAAGAAACCGTATACACCGCCACTCGAAACGTCATAACACTTACGAATCTTGGGAAAATTTCAGATCGTCAGATCGTATCGCAACTTTGTTATTTCTGAAATTCGCAAATCGAAACAATTATACTACGATAAACTTGACCAAAAAATTTCCGGGAACAGTTTCAGTGAAAATAATTAGTGGTGACTTGTCAAATCAATTTCCACTCAACAAGGTAACTCCATTAAAGAAATACCCCCTCTTCATTTTAATAACACGATATCTTACAACACGAACGAAAAGGCGAATATTTTAAATAATCTAGTTGTTAGTAACAATCAATTAAGCGACATAGACGACGAGCCACCGACATTACCATTTAATGATTTCTCAATCGAATACATAGTGATCACAACTTCCGAAGTGCATGATGCGTCAAAAAAGCCCCCGGGCCTGACAACATCAATAATTTAATATTAAAATCGTGTGCAAAAACCCTATGCAGGCCCTTAACAAAACTTTTCAATTACTTAATCGACAACGTCACCTTTCCCAACTGTTGGAAACAAGCCAGCGTAGTACCGATCCACAAGCAAGGGGATAGGCATGATACTCAAAATTATAGACCAATATCTCTGTTATCGATCCTAGGTAAAATCTTTGAGAAATGTATTTTTAAATATATTAACAATTTTCTTATTAGTAATGATATCTTGACTCCGCTTCAATCTGGTTTCAGAAGTAATGACTCTACAATATTCCAATTAGTTGACTTATATGACCAAATTTGTCGGTCGCTTGATCACGGTAAGGAAGTAAAGTCCATATTCTGTGGTGTTAGTAAGGCATTCGACCGTGTTTGGCACAAGGGTCTCATCTATAAATTAAACTCTATTGAAATCCGGGGAAAACTGCTAAGATTAATTGAAAATTACTTACAAAACCGTCAACAGTCAGTTACAATCCGTAGTCAAAGCTCTGATATCATCAAGATAAATGCTGGAGTACCACAGGGCTCGGTTCTCGGGCCTCTTCTATTTCTGATTGATGTAAACGATATTACGCGTGGAATAAATGCAAATATCAGTCTTTTTGCAGATGATACGTCCCTATACATGGTAATCGATGATCAAATAGGATGCCAATCCCTTCTAAATGAAGACTTAAAGAAATTTAGTAACTGGTCAAAAAGTTGGAAAATGTACTGTAATCCGCACAAAACAAAGACTATTACATTCTCGAGAAAACAAACCCCTACTCTTATTAATATTTACTTTGAAGGAACAGCACTAACTGATAGCAAAGAACACAAGCATCTAGGAGTTTATTTAAGTAGTAATTGTAATTGGACTGCTCATATTAATTATACGGTTATCAACGTTAGTAAATTTATAGATTGTTTCAGAAGTTTAAAATATCGTTTAAGCAGAATGTCCCTTGAACCAATATATACAAAGCATTTATACTACCGTTATTCGACTACGGTGACGTAATCTGGAATAATTGTACTAAACACGAAAGTACTCATCTTGAAAATTTAAATCTTGATGCCCTTAGAACAGTCACCAGATTAGTGAGAGGTACATCTCACAATCTATTGTATAAAGAATCCAGGTTCAATTCGCTTGAAATTAGACAATATCGCCATAAACTAATTCTGTTTTACAAAATGGTGAATAAAATAACTCCAGGTTACTTGACTATCCGAGTGCCTCCCAAATCCTCGGACGTAAACCCTTACGAAACGCGGAATTCACAACTATATAGAAATATTCCTGCTAATACAGCATTCTATAAAAACTCCTTTCTACCGTCCGTCATAAAAGACTGGAATAATTTACCTGAGCACACAAAAGCATGCCCTACTATAAAAATCTTTAAAGCACACTTAACCAATACTGATATATTACTACCTAAATAATTTTACGCCGGAAAGCGTTCTTCTCAAAAAATCCATACAAAACTGCGTCACAATAAAAGGAACTTAAACTACCATAAATTCACTATGCGCTTAACGGACAACCCAGCTTGTTCCTGTGGCCATTATATAGAGGATACGGAACACTACTTGTTAGACATCCTAAACTTAGGCTGCCTGTCTACAGCTAGCTCTGCCTGAAACAGGACCTAAAAATTAACCGACATTTTAATTCCTACATCGACGATTTTAGTCGAAAACACCGAGCATGCTTTTAGTAATTTTTAGAAGTATTTATTTCTCTTCTATTGTCATATTGAATGAAATTAAATATGTTTATTTAGCCGCTGTGTGTATGAAAGATGTCAAACTAATCAAAGCCGAATCACAAAATAGTCCTCTAATTATTCAATATGGCGGCGCCCATGAAATATAATTTCACAGAGGCGGTTTTGATTGCGAAGACAAATTTAGGAATATCTAACCTTGTTTTGAAAGATAAACAGATTGAAACTCTAAAGACAGTTTACAATGGCAAAGAATGTATTGCAATATTACCCACAAGCACATATTATATACCGCTTTTACCGGAGTGGCAGAAGTTGACATTTTGCCAATGACATGTGTTTACATAAAACACGAGCTTGATCGGGTTATTTTTACTCTGTTGTATCGCAAAGCAGTACTTCAGTCGATAAGTCCCGCCCCAAAATGATCATGTGAGCGTTTTAAATGGCGGGCAACTAGGGCAGTGATCATAATCTCGAAGTATGACGTAGATGGATCGCTGTGTGCAGTTTGCTTGTTACACTGTCCAAATTTTACCAATGTTAGATTCCAAACTATAAATACATTACCAAATATTTTTCTTAACTTACAAACTCTGACAAACGGTGATAGTAATAATACCTTGCAAATGAATACGCACATTTTTAATACAGACCATAAATTTATACATTTATCCAAAAGATTCCAATAACCATCGTAAAATATTAGCTGAATTAATTACTTTCTCGGTTAAAATACATCTGACGTCCTCAAAACATCACTCGAGCAAGCGTATTATGAAATGGTAAGGTACTGTAAGTGACACAAATAATTATTAAATTACTTGCATGCACGACTAATAGTAAATAGAAAATACCATACTATTAAATGTATTTTGTATGTGAAGTGCACATATTACTATTGTATTTGTAATATATTTATTAAATAAGGAGACGAATTAATATAAGCCTTTGGCTTGGTTTTGAATCCTTACCTTTTGACAGTGTATGTATACAACATCCATCTTATTTGAATAAAATATTGTTTAAATCAAATAAAATTAAAATCTAAACAATTTGGAGATCTTTTATTAATATTATATAGCTTACTATAGAATTCAGTGATGCACTAATATGTACTTTGCAGAGATTAAACAGATTGCAGCAGAATTCTTCTTATCACAAACTATAGCAAGTTTATCATGAATAAAAAATAGAGTTTGTTTATGAATGAAATTGTGATACATATTTTCATTTTAAGAAAAAGTCTTTGTAGAGCTTTAAAGCAAAAGAATCGCTAATACATTATTCTTTTTAAAACAAGTCAAAGAATTCAGGACCGGTTTTTACTAAAGTTTATTGTGAATACAGCCTGTCTGGTAGGTATCTTGTTAGTTAGAATTTAATGACTATAGCAGATTCTGTACTCAAATTATATAATACCTAACCAAACTGCAGAGGCGGTCATCAAGTCAACCGTGAATACCTGTCAGCGAGTCATCCTTAACAACCAATTTAGTCTCTTGAAGTCTGTTTGGTCATTGGCTTAATTTTAGATTCTGAATTACAGAAGTATGTAAAAGTGGTACACATCTCTGCAATCAGTTCACAAAATTTATTCAAAGGTAAATTTGCCCCATCCTTCCTATACAATAATATGCTTAATGGTTTTGGGAGTATCACTCAACTTTTCGACAAAATAAAATTAAATGAAAGTTTTTAAAGTTTCTATATTTTGAAAATTTGTCTTTTGACTTATAAATAAATATATCTTACTTAATCGACTTAATCATTATGTGTGGATATATACCTATATTATATGTACATTGCATGAAAGTACTTATATAAAAGTTTTGCAATAGTATGAAGATGGATTTGAATAGATGGTTCTTTTTTTTCAGTTATTTTGAAAATATTGGTAAACTCTGGAACAAGAAAGATGTCATTTCAAAGAAGGTGACTATTTACATTTTCATCTTATAACACAAAAGCTGTATTATTGTGTGTCATGGCAAAATATGTTTCTTGCTCTCGCTGGACAAAATGTCGAAAAGTTTTATCAGCTGTACAACGAAATAAAAATGACATTATAACTGATAAACTCCGAAAGCGAACGCGGTAGTTACTCCCCGGTCAGAGCTACCCCTAAACACAAAATATTCAGCCTCGGCGACAACCTTGGTAGCTACCAACCTTGAACAGACCAACAAACGACAGTCACATATATTAGTATGCCCCCCCCCCCTCCCAAAAAAAAAAGTTACAAAGAGTCAAATTTGTTGATATAGGTTTGTTAGAACAACACTGACAGATATATGCTTTTGAGGGGTGCCCTTTTTTCACAAAAAACAACAAACTATAAGCATTTTCATTTATGATCAGGATGATGAAGCTGCTTGGGCTTGCATGTTTTAAGACGTAACAACTCCCATTAAAATAACTGTGAATTTATGAAAGAAATAGTTTCGTTCGATAACTTTACATAATATCGATATGCAGATTTTTTGCTGGTAATATACAGTGCACTTACGTATTTGATCATTTTTTCGTTCTGTTTAAGATAAACCGACTTGGACGATTAGGTGTCCACCGTTAACAACATCATGAAGAATCTCATTGTCACTTATGTACAACCCCTTTACAACTGGACTGGACAGGATAAAAAGGCAAACGTGAATTTGGGGCACATGCTACAGCTACCCATTGTTTTTAGTAGTAATATTGATGATACATCATTGTTTGAAATAAATACATATCCACGATGAAAATAATAGTTCTGGTACGATGGGGTTTATTTTAATGTTTTTACAATCTCTCACCAAAATATCTTCTAAGTCTTTTTGAACCCTCTGCATATTTCAGGTGCAATTTAGATTTGAATTGTACGTGTTTTGTGGTCTAAGGGGGGGGGGAGTAGGCTAATATGGGAAGAGTTGTGTTGCTTTGTCAGGTTGCACATCAACAGACCTAATGTGCTTTCCTTTTGAATTACAGAGCCAGTCAGAATAAATCCAATTTTTGTAAATACCACAAACAAGAAAATCGGAGCCGCAGTTAGTCGTTTCCTGACAAATTCAAGGGACGGGATGGTGGGAGATCCCAACGAATTAAAACATGAAACCAAATAAATAGTTTTGTTATTTTATTAGACTTATTTGGTAATTGTTTTTACCATGCTTAAATAACTAGAGAATTCGTCAAAGTTACATAGAGCAGGGTAACACACTTGATATTCATTAAAATAGTGTTACGTAGCATGTAATAGAAAATGACCATACATCAGAAGATACTTGTATTAAATTAGTCTTAGTTCAACTATAATTTGTAGTCTAAAGAAACTCTGTTCAAATTGCTTTGTGCTTTAATTATCATTTAAATGAGAGACCAATATATGAATCCCATAGAGGGACCGTATTACATATCATGGCATATCCACAAAGATCCTATATGAGTCCCATATTACATTTATTTGCACCCCACATGCAGTGGCGGCACTAAGAGGGCGGGGGGGGGGGGCAGTGGTGCATTTTCTTCCCCCCATTAATCTGGTCTGCCCTCCCTACTTTGACGCTTCGTCGAGATTCGCAAGTCAGTTCGTTTGACACATTACCTCAACGATCAGTGCGTGAAATACTGCCAGGCTGCATTTCCGGCAAACTTTGCCCCCTTAACCTTGAACTTTGCCCCAGCTTTGCCCCGCCAATCACCGACAGCTGGCACCGCCACTGCCCACATGAGTCCAATAAAGTACCCATATTACATGTCTTAACATGGCCATATAGGTCCCATGCAAGTCCCATATTACATATATTTGCACCCCACATGAGTCCCATTATTACATTTCTTAACATGGCTATATAGGTCACATGCAAGCCCCATATAACACCCATATTATTTTAAATGACTTTCCCATATAGACCCCACACAAACCCCATCCTACCCATATGGTTGAGCCCATATGGATCCCATATAATGTTGGGTGCAAAAATGTTGGGGCCCCATATGGGCTCCCCATAATGGCCCCATACATGACACATGGTATATGGTAGGCCTACCCATCAGTAAATGTTATCAGGAAAGGTAGTGACACATGTAGCTCTACACAGTTTACGTTCTTATAATAGATTCATGTATGAAATACAAACGCACTAACTGATTTTGCAACTGTTTTGGGTGGATTAAATAGATTTTCTAGAGAATAGGGTAGATTAAAGGAACTAAAAACTAAGGGTAGATAATTATCTGTAAATTTTGGGTATATGTGAACGGTACGTAAATTTTCATACAATGGACATTCTAGTTAAAAATGTGCTTCCTCTTCAGTTTTGTTTTTATAGCATTGTTGGCATATTCTTAGATCTGGGGGGACATTTTTGTATCTGCCAATTCCAATTTGAAGCGAGTGTGAACTGTTTTAAACAGAGATATTCAGCAGGTTTATAGATTTTTGTTTTAAATAAACCGTAAGTCCTTAAATGGGCTGGAGTGACATGATTCAGTGAAAAGGAAGTTGAATTTGGATTGAAGTGATGATTTGATTACTCTGTGAATTTAGTGAGGTTTGACGTAGAGTACCGGAATCTGCCGAGGTTTGCCGACTGATCTCACACTGTCACTCCTGTGAGCTCCACAATCTCTCTGCCTCTGGTCGGCAAGAATCTAACCTGTGAAACGCTATTCCACTACCCTTTTCGGGTGTTTGAGCAGCCAAAACAGCAGCAACTTTCTGGCATATTGATTATAAAACACGATTTAAAAGATCTAATGGTCGTCACTGTCGTCAGCGTCAACTCCCCGGAACTAACATGGCGGACAAGGCCCCATGTCAGCACGCTGTCACGTGATCAGTGCGGACTCTAGTTTCTATATATAACTCTATGACTGCGCTCTATCTATCGATTCCAATTAGATATGTAAACTTACAAATAATCGGACTTATAGATAATAATAATAGTTAACTCTTTTGAATTAATGGAGCAGTTACTTTCCTAAAAACATTACTCCTTGAATGAAATATTGTGACCCTAAAATTTTGGCAACGGACGTACATTTTTACCCTAAAATTTTGGTAAAGGACGTACATACATCTATGAAGCCCTAAGTAATTCAGAGAATTTTGGCAAATGATTTCTTTTTACGGTCATAGTAACAAGAATGAATGATGTTATTAGCTTTAAATATGAGTTTTTGAACAGTTCCATCAATAAATAAGAATAAGAGAGATAATGGAAATATTTGGTAACATGAAATACTGTGAAAAGTAACGGACGTACATCTATGAAAACCCAAGTTATTCTGAGAATGTTTGCAAATCTTTTCTTTTTACAGTCATTATAGTAAGAATGGGTTATTAAAGCTTTAGATATGAAGTTTTAAATAATTCCATATAAAAATATGAATGAGAGAAAAAAAAATGTAAATATTTGGTAACGGACGTACATTCTCATAGTAATATTTTTCAATGTTGGTTACCTTCACAAAAATATATTACTTTTATATTTTAATGTTTAAATATTATGTTTATATACATTGTCAGATAATTAACTAATGCCAAATCATTCATTATGAGCCAGAATAATCAAACAAACACAAAGTAAGAAAATACAATAGAATTATAAATTCGACATATACAACGTAAACCTTGACACAAGACCAAATAAAAAAAAATTGGAAGAGTCTCCACCCAAATTGAGATTTTTCTTCAAAATATGGATTATTTCCCACCATAAGACACTATTTTTGTCCACTTATCAACTAATTAAATTTTTCACCTAATTGTATTACTTTAGCGTGGAATTGCCCACCATATGCCATATGTTAGTCCCGAAATGACCTAGTTTGTGTCGAGTGGACGTTAAACCCCATTTCATTTCATAAATATTTTTTTCAGTTCCACAAATTTCTTAAAATAATTAACAAATAAATAAATACCGGTGTGGCAGTTTCAGATGGTTCCTGGTGTGTGATTACCGTTTGGCGCATGCGCAGTTGTAGGAGTCAACTCACACCGTTACAGTCGCGGTGTGCATTGACTCCTCGTGATAGGATTCCCCCTAAGATTTTCTTACGGTCAAATCAGATTATTATGTACCGATATTTACAGTATTACCACCACGAGAGGATGCAAATTGACGATCTTTATTATTTAGTATATATACCCGTCCACAATGCGAACATTCTCTCTTGTATTTGGGCTGTCTACATGCATGTTTGAATGTATGGGATGGTATAATAAATCTATATTTATGTTAAAGAAATCGGAATAAAAAATTCCATACTTTTATATTTGTGATAAATGAATCCACGAAATATCAAAGACCTTAATCTTCAAGCCAATCATCAATTTGTATGGGTTTCCACTGATCGTACGTGTGTAGAAGTTAGTAGAACGACTAATCACTAAAAAAAACAACGGCAACAAATCACGAACGATAGAAGTATCAATTTCAAGCCAATCAACTTAGATCCGTTGATTGTGTAACTACTCATCACTAAAACAACAGCTAATCACGATAACGAGTATGTTTATTAATGACAAAACTCTAATCAAGTACATAATATACTTTTTCCTGGACTGTCTGACCAGGAACCAACTCGCACTGCAGAAAGTAGATATAGTTTCGTTGTTAAGGCAAACATCAGTTTCGGACATGCGCAAGTGCCCAGGAGTCAACTCAAACTATCACACCGGTAAATAGAAATACAACATTTTACGCAGGCTATTAATTTTTCTTCACTTTTCATTCCCTAATTTCCTAAAATAAAATAATTAACAAATAAATAAAAATACCGGTAGGCTACATATAATTCTGCGGGCTATTGATTTCTGTTCACTTTTATTTTTAAAAAAACCCATTCATTTCTCTACACTCTTTATTAATTAGTTCCATAAATTTCTAAAACAATTTAACAAATTTACTGTATAGGAATAATTATTGTGTACATTGCACTAATTTAAAAGATCAATATTTTAATAAAAATTAAAAGAGAAAGCGAAGGTAAGTACAAGTAGGTAGACGTAGAGAAACTGCGGTCGAGATCGCTGACATGTCAAATTAAAATGTTCTATAACCTTTACTGTGGAAAGTGGATCCCGGAGATAAGTCGGTCCATGGATCTTTATTATTATTTTTATTAAACAATAAAAATTTGGGTGGGAAAATTTAAAAATTTAATATTTGTGCACATTTTAAAACAGTTTGACACAGATTGATTGATGCGATAACATAGTGAACATCCGGGTATTTACGTTCATACTGTTCTATTTATATTAAATCCAAACTATGCGATAGTGTCCAAATTATTGATAACAAGCCAACAGTGAGGCTGATGTCCCCCGCCGAAATAGGAAAATAATTAGAGGACACATATAAAAATCAAATTGCGTATCGCTCTGCTTACCCTGAGCAGAAAATGCTCATTATCAAACTTAGTCAAGGTATTACTGTAATGAAACTATACACCAAGTTTCATCAATCTCACTTAATTAGAACTAAAGTTATCGTGTCCCAAAGCATCAACCAATCAAATTGCTTATCTCTGCTTACCCTAAGCGGAAAATGCTCATCTTCGAACTCCATCAAGGCATTGACCTAATCAACACATACACCAAGTTTGAACATTCTAGCTCAATTAGGAAGAGAGTTATCGTGCCCCAAAGTATCAACCAATCAAATTGCTTATCTCTGCTTACCCTAAGCGGAAAATGCTCATCTTCGAACTCCATCAAGGCATTGACCTAATAAACACATACACCAAGTTTGAACATTCTAGCTCAATTAAAAGTTATCGTGTCCCAAAGCATCAACCAATCAAATTGCTTATCTCTGCTTACCCTAAGCGGAAAATGCTCATCTTCGAACTCCATCACGGCATTGACCTAATCAACACATACACCAAGTTTGAACATTCTAGCCCAATTAGGAAGAGAGTTATCGTGTCCCAAAGCATCAACCAATCAAATTGCTTATCTCTGCTTACCCTAAGCGGAAAATGCTCATCTTCGAACTCCATCAAGGCATTGACCTAATAAACACATACACCAAGTTTGAACATTCTAGCTCAATTAGGAAGAGAGTTATTGTGTCCCAAAA